CATGTTCAGTCTCCACATATTTGTGCATTTTCCAGTTTTCTTCTTTGTGATTGATTTCTAGTTTCATACTATTGTGGTTGGAAAAGATGTTTGATATGACTTTAGTCTTAACTTTGCTAAGACTTTTTTTCTGGCCTGACATGATCTAGCCTGGAGACTGTTCCACGTGCACTTGAGAATGATGTGTATTCTGTTGTTTTTGGGTGGAATATTCTGTATATATCTGTCAAGTCTATATGTTCTAACATGTCATTTAAAGTTAACGTTTCCTTATTGATTTTCTGTCTGTGTGATCTATCCAGTGGTGTAAGTGGAGTATTAAAGTCCCTCATTATTATTATGTTGCTGCCTTTTTCTCCCTTTAGATGTTAGTATTTGCTTTATGTAGTCAGGTGTTCCTATGTTGGGTACATAAATATTTACAAATATTTTCTTACTTGGTTGACCCTTTATCATTATATAATGCCCTTCTTTGTCTCTTGTTACAGTCTTTGTTTTAAAGTCTCCTTTGTCTGCTCTAAGTATTGCGACCCCAGCTTTCTTTTATTTCTGTTCACAGGGAATATCTGTTTCCATCCCCTCTCTTTCAGTCTCTGTGTGTCCTTGTATCTGAAGTGAGTCTCTTGTAGACAGCATATAAATAGCTGTTGTTTGTTTATCCATTCATCCACTGTGTCTTTCAGCTGGAGAATTTAGTCTGTTTACATTTAAAATAATTATTGATAAATATGGACTTACCGCCATTTTGTTAATTGTGTTCTGGCTATTTTGTAGTTCCTCGATTTCTTTCTTTTCTTGTTCTCTTCTCTTGAAGTTTGATGACACACTTGAGTGGTTTGCTTAGATTTCTATCTTATCTTTTGTGTATTTACTACAGGTGCTTTCCTTTTTGGTTACCATGAAACTTACATATAACAACTTGTTTTTGAGGCTGTTTTATGTAAGTTGCAACAACTTAAATTTGAAGACATTCTAAAGCTTTACAGTTTTACTCTCCCCACCCCCAAACATGTTATGTTTTTTGATGTCACATTTACATCTTTTTATCTTGTGTATTCTTCCAACTAATTATTGTACAGTTATTTTTACTACTTTTATGTTTTAATCTCCATGTTAGCTCTATAAGTGATTAATCCACTACCTTTACATTAGATTATTTTGAATCTTACCTTTACCAGTGAGATTTAGTCTTTCATATGTTTCTCTGTTACTGATTAACATCTTCTTGTTTCAGCTTAAAGAAGTCCCTTTAACATTTCTTGTAAGGCGAGTTTAGTGATGAACTCCTTTAGCTCTTGATCTAGATATCTGTCCTTCCCCAAATTGGAGGTATTTTCAGCCGTTATTTCTTTCAATAAATTTTCTGCTCCTTTCTCTCTTTCTGGGACCCCTGTAATGCAATATCATCCCATAAGTCCCTTGAGGTATCTTGACTTTTTTTCCCATTCTGTTTTCTTTTTGCTGTTTTGATTGGGTGAGTTCCAGTGCCCTGTCCTTGAGTTCACTGATTCTTTCTCCTCTTCATCTCGTTTGCTGTTGGACCTCTTCAGTGTATTCTTCAGTTCAGTTATTGTATTCTTCAGCTCTGTGACTTCTGTTTGATACTTTCTTTTATTTTCTCTTTGTTGAAGTTCTCACCGTGTTCATCCATCCTTCTCCCAAGTTTGGTGAGCATGTTTATGGCAGTTATCACATTTAAACATCGTGAAACACACTTTAATACAAAACTTGCTTGCATTTAGATTTTCTTAGTAAAGAACTAACCTGTGACAGTTCCACATGTTTTGCCCATGTGGCTTTGTACAGTATCTCTGGAGAATGTCTTTTTATGGCTGGGAGAAGGGAGTAGGCTGTGGAATCCAAAAGCAGCATTGTATTCATTGTTTCACTCTGCAAAGATTATTCTGTTCTAAAGATACAATACAAACTATGGTCCTTTCCTGTATTTAATTTTACTACGATAGCATTCTGGCCTGTAAAATTGAAGATAAACATTTGAAGTCTTTGAATAAAAAGCCTAGAGTAATTGTGGAAGACAGGATGATAATACACGAAGTATCAGTTTTGGTGTGTGGAACAGGAAGCCCGCAGGCCTGGGGCTGCCATCACTGCGGGAAGGAGAAGGCAGGCCAGGGCTTTGCTCTTTCCACTTGAGTACTTGGCCGTAAAGACTAAGACGGGAACATGTAGGCAGCATCACAAACCACCAAACCTGCGAAGAAACTTTGAGACTAGGAAACAAATACAGAAATAAATTACAGCGTGTTAATAGGGCAGAGATATTTCTCATTCCCTAAACAGTGTGTACTAAATTACAATAACTAAAGTATCTTCAGCTGTAAGCATCAGTTAAATTGTGGTGTTACAGCGAAGATAGGGTATGAAAGAATATTGTTAAGACAGAAAGGTCTTCTTTTGGGCATAGGGCATTTTACAAATAGATATGTATTATTTATTTTTTGGGCATAGGGCATATTTTTATTTATTTCTTTCAAGTTATTTATTTTAAATTAATACCAATGATTCTCCCTTACAAAACTGGCTTTTGGATTTTTAAAGCTTTCAGAAGTAATTTTTAGAAATACCTTTCCAACGATGGAAAATTATTATCCACCAGTATGAGATTTCCAGCTAGCCACATTCTACGATGTTACTTCACTTTCTGCTGCACTGTGGGAAGCGGGTTTTACTCTTCCAGAAAATGTTTCACTTCATGCTCACATCCTATCTGGGGGGGTTAGAAACGTGCAGCTACTCTTTATCCTCAAAGCTTTTTAGAAGAACGTGGCAGAGAACTTTAAACATCCTTTGGTTTAATCATCCTTTCAACTAGTATGTGTGACGTGAAGTATGGTTCAGTGTTCAGACACAGAGATGGTTAGACGTTGTCCCTGTATTGAAGGAGCTCAGTCTTCTGAGCTGGTCCCACCCCCACCCCAGTATGTTTACAAAAATTCCTAACTGTATAAATCCAGGCTTGGCTCCTCCTGTTTGAGACGTTTTATGGCTTGTTGCTATATAGTGCAAAGTATCTTTCTTGCTGCTGTCAGTTAGACCTTTTCCTTTGTGGCCATGAAAGTCAGGGATGCGGAATCTTAATTCCCTGAGTCAGAGCTGCAGCTCGAATGTTTCTTGATGTTCTTGCAGGGAGCATCCCACAGGTGCCTCTCAGCCACACAAATGAGTCCTCTACCTCGCCCAGGAAACCGTCGTCAACAACTCCAGTTTCCTCAAAGAACGTAACAGCCACCACCTTGAAACCCACAGCAAAATCATCAGTTCCAGTTTCTTCAAAGAACAAGACAGCCACCACCTCGAAACCCACAACAACGTCTAAAATGACACCACCAGCGATCCCAACAAACAAGACTTCTACCCCTGCAAGGTCTACACCCAAGATAACAAGTGCTTCGCACAACACTTCCCAGATGTCCACATCCACAGCGACCACAGCCCACAACAGTTCAGTGACTTCTGTTTCTTCACCTGTAACAAGTACGTATAAAATTTTTTCTGTGCTGAAAATAGTTGTTAAATGCCTAATTACCTCATTCCATTCTGTGAAAATACAGAAATATGACAACTATTTCTTATTTCCTAAATGAATTAGCGGTAAGGATCAGGAGAAGAGTCCAGCTGACGTAGTAATCTTGTCCCTTTTAAAAAATTAGTTTCCAGTTTAACCATGCCAAATAATGACTGTGTGAGATCCACCTGTAAGTAAATAATTCATCCTCACAGGGAATTTTATTTTGCATGGTTTGAAAATCTGTCATACCTTTAACTCTTTGTATGTCACTCTAGAAAGGAATTATGCAGGCTCAGCCAACATATTTCCTAAATCTAAATCACAGTGAACTTTGTTTTAATTCACTTGTGCCGTAGACATATGTCCATGGTATTAGATATAATCACATATGTAGCATCAGTCTCAGCCCTTTTTTTGCATTTGTTTAAAATACAATGCCTGTCAAACCGTGAATTCAAAGACCTTAAGAAGATTCTCTTTTAAGTTACCCAAAGCTGAAGTTCTGATTAAAAGCCAGTGATTACATTTCTCAGAACGAATAGCAGGCATGATGGTTTCTCGTGTATGTTTGTACGCTCCTGCTTCATGTGGTGTATCTTCTTTCTTAGTACAGTTGATGTACTGAAGTCAACCTTAATGTCTCAGAGGTTCTTGACTCAGTAAGATCAAAATAGTTAAAAATTCCCAATTGACTCAAAA